CCCTCCACTCCAGAAATCCTGGGGAGAACAATTCTTCCACCCCCCAGTGCAGCCTCAGTTTCTTTCTGAATGAAGAAAAAGCACCCTTTTCAGGGCTAGCAGGTGGCATGGTGGTTGGGGTACTGGACTCCCACATGGCTGACCGTGGTTCGAGTCCTGGAACTGGAAGCTTGCTTTCTCGCTTTCCTTTTATCTCTGTCTCCCCCGGCTCATGTTAAAAAATAATAATAATATTTTTAAAAAGCACCCCTTTCTCTCTCTCTCTCTCTTTTTTTTTTGGGGGGGGGAGAGGGTTTCACTATAGGGTGCGTGTGTTCGCCAGACAGACAGAGACAGAGAGACAGAAAGCAAGAAATCACCCCCCAGGGGGGATGGTCACGCCACAATCCCTTCTCCTCCATTCTCCTCTCGGGATCTTGGGCACGTACGCACACGTGCCCGGCGTGAGTTTTAAGCCCCCGGGTCTGGGACGTGAACCACAGTCGACTACGTGGGAGTCCAGCGACATAGCCATTACGCTAACTGCTGGTCCCCCCTTTCTCTCTTGACTAGCCACACAAGATACATTCCCAGGAAACCTGCAGACCAAAGTGAAACACAGGGCAGATTACGCATGACTGCAGTCTAGTTCTCCCACCTTCAGATTTCAGACATTCCCCTTCACAAAGACCCTGTGAGGTAAAATAGGTGGATGTTATTATTTTGGATTTGTAGATGCAAAAGGAGACGAAGTGACTTACACAAGGTATTTTAAGTGTGAGGGGACCTCAAAAAAATTGTAGGAAAATAAAATTAAAATACTAGCTTATTTTGGTGTAGTTTTTTGAGGGGCTAGCAGGTGGCATGGAGCTTAAGACAGCTGAATCCTACATGGCCAACGACGTGGTTTGAGTCCCGGACCCAATAGCTTGAAAAATCACACTGGGCACGTGTGCGTGTGTGTCCAAAATCCTGAGAGGAGAATGGAGGAGAACAGTTGTGGCATGGCCATCCCCCATTGGGAGGTGATTTCTCACTCTCTGTCCATCTCTGTCTCTCTCCAGCGAGTGCACATGCCTTAATAGTAAACTCACCCCCCCATAGTTTTTGAAATCCATGCACAGTTCCTTCATTGTACGTGTTTTTCACGAGCTTTTGGTGACCCTTCATAGTACACAAGAAAGTCGCCCTTAATGCAAGTCTTGTGACCCCAAGGCCACGCTTCCTACCGCATTCTCACAGCGAAGAAATGTGAGCGTAGGAGGCGCTCAGCAAGCCCCCCAGACACCACCAAGTCAGGAGCCTGGAGGTCACAGACTCTACGGGCTCCCCATCTCAGCCCTGCCAGAACTCTCCCTTCCACGTGGGCTTCCCCGGGGCAGCAAGGAGCTTGATAGAGGCACCGTGCCTAGAATATGGCTTTCTTTCTCCCTTCAGTGACTCTGGAGGCCAAGTCCTCAGTGGCCAAGTTTCCAGTGACCATCCGCCATCCTGTCACACCCAAGTTATATGACCCTGGACCAGGTAAGGCCCTTATCCTTGGGTCCCACCGTGGGACTCTGTAGAGCTCTACTGATAAGATTCTTAATAAGCTTTGGGGAGAATTTTAGGACACAGTCCTATTACAGCTTAATTATATTTATTTTATTTATTTATTCATTTTTGGAGAGGTTTCTGCTATAGGGCATGTGCGCTTGCCAGAAAGACAGAGGGAGATAGGGAGACAGAAAGCAAGAAATCACCCCCCAGGGGGGATGGCCACGGCGCAATCCCTTCTCCTCCATTCTCCTCTCTGGATCTTGGGCCGGCACGCACACGTGCCCAGCGTGAGGTTAAGCCACCGAGTTCGGGACTCGAACTGCGGTCGACTACATGGGAGTTCAGCAACATAACCATAACACCAACTGCTGGTCCCAATTATATTTATTTTAACATGTGGTTTTGCCTATTTAAAAAAAGGAATGGAGATCAGCAGGTAGCATAGTAGTTAAGGTGATGGACTCCCACTTGGTTGACCGCAGTTCCAGTCTCAGACGCTGTGGCTTGAAACTCACAGCAGGCATGCGTGCATATATGCCCAAAAACCCAAGAGGAGAATGGAAGAGAAGAGACTGTGGTGTGGCCATCTCCCCTGGGGAATGATTTCTCACTTTCTCTGTCTCTCCAGTGAGTACACCTGTCCTAAAGCAGAAAAAAAAATGATAACATTGTAATAAGTAGTAGTAATAGATAATATGGTGGCACTGATGCATGAATAGATCATCAGTGGAATCAAGGTGGAAATCCAGAAATAGACCTAGTACATATTGGAACTTCACTGTGGGAAGAAGATAGTTTTACACATTAAACCAGGGGTGGGGGGTGAACAAATCAAAGATGAAATTATGGGAGCCAGCAGGTGACATGGTGGTTAAGGCACTGGACTCCCACATGGCTGACCAGAGTTCAAGTTCCAGACCTGGTGGCTTGAAAATCATGCTGGGTGCATGTGTGTGCGTGTCCAAAATCCTGGGAGGAGAATGGAGGAGAAGGGATTGCAGCATGGCCATTTCCCCAGGGGACAATTTCTCACTTTCTCTCTCACCATCTCTCTTTGTCTCTCTCCTCTCTGGCAAGGGCATGCACGCTTTGGCAAAAACTTTTTAAATTAATTAATTAATAAAGCTGATTATTATTATTTTTTTTTTTGGAGAGGTTTTCGCTATAGGGCGCTTGTGCTCACCAGACAGACAGAGAGAGACATAGAGACAGAAAGCGAGAAATCACCCCCCAGGGGGGATGGTCACGCCGCAATCCCTTCTCCTCCATTCTCCTCTTGGGATCCTGGGCACGCACGCACACGCGCCCGGTGTGTTTTAAGCCACCGGGTCCGGGATGCGAACCACGGTCGACTACATGGGAGTCCAGCGACATAGCCATTATGCTAACTGCTGGTTCCCTAAAGCTGATTAATTTTTTAAAAGATGAAATCATGTGGGATAACTGTGTAGCTATGGATAAGATAAGAAGTTGAATCTATCTCATAGTTCATACCAAGGTAAATTCCAAATAGATCAGATATCTGAATATTTTTAAAGTATTGAGGGTGAGGATGCAGTTTAAAAGGCAATCTGAGGGGAACCAGTGGGTGGTGTGGTGGTTAAGGTGCTGGACACTCCCACATGGTCAACCACGGTTCGAGTCCCAGACTTGGTGGCTTGTTTTCTCGCTTTCTCCCTCTCTCTCTTTCTGTGTCTCTCTCTCTTGTCAAATTAAAATAAATGAATGAATAAATAAAATTAAATAAATAATTCTTAAAAAGAAAAAAAGCGATCTGAGAGGGCTTGCAGGTGGCGTGGAGGCTAAGGCAGCTGGATCCCACGAGACCAGCTGTGTGGTTTGAATCCTAGACCCAGTGGCTTGAAAGTCACACCAGCACAAAATCCCAAGAAAACACTGAAGGAGGAGGGTCTGTGGTATGGCCATACTCCTGGGGGAGGGAATGCTTTCTCACTTTCCTCCCTCTCTCTTTCTCCTTCTGCCTTTCTGGCAAGTGCGCGTGCTCTATAGCAAAAACTAAAACAAAACAAAAATAATTTTAGAGTTTAAGGCACGAAACAAAATTCAGAAGCCTTAAAAAAGCTAAAATTAATTTGATTCTTACACACTATATGCATGCATTGAAAAACCATAGTGTACCCCACAAAGCTGTACAATGTTTATATGTAAATCAGAAATCACAATTTAAAAAGACTAAAAACAAAATATGTAAAATTTTGAAATGCTTTTATGGTAGAAACCTACCATAAGCAATGTCAAATGGCAAGGAACAAATTGGGAAAAAATATCTTCAACACACATTAAAGTCAAAGGTTTACTTTTACTTAAGAGTACCTTCGGGGGCAAGCAGATGGTGTGATTATGTCGCTGGACTCACAGAGCTGACTATGGTTCGAGTCCCGGACCTGGTGACTTGAAAATCATGGTGGGTGCACATGGGTGGCCAAGATCCCAGGAGGAGAATGGAAGAGAAGGGACTGTGGCATGGTCATCTTCTCTAGGGGGTGATTTCTCATTTTCCTTCTTACTGTTTCTATCTCTCCGGCAAGTGCACGTGCCCTAAGGCAAAAACCTCTGAAAACTAAAAGCATGCCTTTGAATTGATAAGAAAAGAATCTAAACTGATGGAAAAATGCATAGCTCACAAAAAATTAAATTGAGCCATAGTTTTAGCCACTGGGCTATGTCCCCAGGTTCTCATTAAGAAAGTGTATGTGAAAACTACTTTCACATCAAAAGATATTGGACAAGGGGTGGAAAAACAAGCACTCAGGAATGTAAATGGATACTTTTCTGGAGGCTATTTGGCCTTATCTGTCAACATTTTCAATGTGTCTAACCTTTGGGCCAGCAATTTTATTTCTAGAAATTATTCTACAAATATTTACATCCGTGTGAAATGACATTTGTTTGAGATTATTTATTACAATATAGCTTTCAATGACAAAAACACTTAGGCTAGACTGGTTAAATTGTGTGATCTATCTATGTATTGGAATGCTGGGTGGTCACAAAACAGAAGGAAGGTGTTTTTTTATGCAAATGGGGAATGCTTTCCAAGATGTAAGTTGCAGAAGAGAAGAGAAGAGTAAGCTGCCATTTGTGTAAGAAGAAAAGGAGAGGCAGCCCTGTAGCCTAATGGTTAAGGGAGCTGGATCCCATGTGGCTGACCCTGGTTCAATCCTGGTCCGTTTGGCTTGCAAAACAGGTTGGGCACATGTGTGTGCATGCCCCAAATCCTGACAGGACGGAGAAATGAAGAAGGGATTGTGTTGTGAACGAGTCCCACTTGGGGGATGCTTTCTCCCTTTGTCTCTGTGGAATACACATGCCCTCTGGCAATTTAAAAGAAAAGAGAAAAAAGAATGGATGTTTATAAATTGCTTGGTAATGGGGCCAGCAGGTGGTGTGGTAGTGAAGGTGCTAGACTCCCATATGGCCAACCACGGTTCGAGTCCCAGATTTGGTGGCTTGTTTTCTCCTTCTTTCTCTCTGGTCAAACTGAATGACAATAATAATAATAAACAAAATTGAATAAATAATTCTTTAATTGAAACTTTTTTTAAAAATTCCTTGTTAATGGAAAATAAACAAGAAATTGGTAATATTGGTTGCTTACTGGAAGGAAACAGTAGTTGAAGGTCAGAGATGGGGAGAAATATTTTCATGGTATAACTTTTTTAAAAAATTATTATTATTGTATTTCAATTTGATCAGAGAGGGACTGAGACAGAGACAGAGAGAGAGAAAAAGTGAGAAGGAAAGCCACCAGGACTTGAAACACAGTTGGCCATGTGGGAGTCCACCGCCCCAACCATCCCACCTGCTGACCCCTATGATATAACTTTTAGTGTATTTAGAATTTATTTTATTTATTATTATTATTATTATTTATGCATTCAATTGCTATACATCATTTAGATTGTGAAGAGATTTCACCCAGCATGATATGCATCTCAGTCCAGTTGAGAATACTATGCACATCCTCATTAACAGATAATAAACTATGTCTGTGTCCCACAAATCTCTTTTTAAAAAAAATTTTTTTTGAGAAGTTTTTGCTACAGGACACATGCGCTTGCCAGAAAGACAGAGACAGGAAGCGAGAAATCACCCCCCTGGGGGGGGGCCATACTGCAATCCCGTATCTTCCATTCTCCTCTCGGGATCTTGGGCACGCACGCACATGCACCTGGCGTGAGTTTAAGCCACTGGGTCTGGGACGTGAACCGCATGGGAGTCCAGCAACATAGACATTACGCCAACTGCTGGTCCCACAAGTCTCTTATCTCTCCATTTTTTCCCCCTAATTTCCTTTCCTGCACTCTTCCCCTCCCACACTCTCCTTCCACTTTGTCTCTGGTGTCCACAACAATTTTTAATGCTTTTATGTCCTCCAGTGTTTCAGTGTCTACCATAGAGTGCAGTTCAGTGGAGACATACGATGTCTCTCACAGCCCAACCTGCTTCACTCAGCAACAAATCTTCCATATTCGTCCACTTTCTATCAAATTCCAAGGCATTGCTGTTTTTTATGGCTAAATAATACCCCTTGTGTATTTAGAATTTTAATCACTTGGCATTTTTTGGAATATACTACCTATATAAGAAGTATGACATAGTCTATACAAATTAATTCCATTTAAAATATAAATTAAATTGTAATTTTAAGGTAATAACGTTAAATATCTAATGAGAAAGATCTGAAATATTTGCTTAAAGTAATAACTATCTATCTGAAAAGTTAAAAATAAGGGGCCAGCAGGTGGTGTGGTGATTGAGGGTGCTGGACTCCCACATGGCAGACCACGATCTGAGTCCCAGATCTGGTGGCTTGCCTTTTTACTTTCTCTCTCACTCTGTCTTTCTCTGTTGAATGCACACGCCTTATAGCAAATGAAAAAGAATAATATTGGGGGACCAGCAGGGGGCGTAATGGTTAAGGTGCTGGACTCCCACATGGTGAACTACAATCTGAGTCCTGAACCCAGAGACTTGAAACTAACGCTGGACACATGTGCATGTGTGCCCAAAATCCTGAGAGGAGTTCTGTCTCTGTCTCTCTGGCGAGCACACATGCCCTACAGCAAAAGTCTCTCAAAAATATTAATTGGGGCCAGCAGGTGGTTAACATGCTAGACTCCCACACTGGCGACCACGGTTTGAGTCCCAGACCTTTCAGCTTGTTTTCTTTTTCTCTCTCTTTCTCTGTCAAATTTAAAAAATAAGCGACCAGCAGTTAGCGTAATGGTTATGTCGCTGGACTCCCACGTAGTCAACCGCGGTTCAAGTCCGGGACCCGGTGGCTTAAACTCACATCAGGCATATGTGCATGCGTGCCCAAGATCCTGAGAGGAGAATGGAGGAGAAGGAATTGCGGCATGACCCCCCCCCCCCGGGGGGGGGTGATTTCTCACTTTCTGTCTCTCTGTCTCTCTCTGTCTGTCTGGCGAGCACACGCGCACCCTATAGCAAAAACCTCTCCCCCCAAAATAAAAATCCTACCAAATGGATTTAAATAAATAAATAATTTTTTAAAATATTGGTATTATAATATTAATAATAAAAATAAAATAAAATAATAAACAAAATTACTGTAAAGCACAAGAAAATTCACTAAAAGTCTTTTTCTTTTTTTTTTTAACTTCAGATTTGTTTTAAAGATATAAGGCTGGGCCAGTCAGTGGCATAGTGGCTAAGGAGGCTGGATTTCACATGGCTGATAGCTTGGTTCGAGTTCTGGACTCGGTAGCTTGAAAAACATGCAGGATGCCTATGAGTATGTACCCAAAGTCCAGAGAGGAGAATGGAGAAGGGACTGTGGTGTTGCCATCCTCCTAGGGAGAGCTTGCTCTCTCTCCCTCTCTCCCCCCTTGGAGAGTGTACATGCCCTTTAAAATTTTAAAAGAAAAAAAGACAAAGGTTGCCGATACAACCGTAGTTTATGGTCCATACTTTATTCCCACCTGTTCCTCCAGCAGCCATGGTTGTGTGTGTTTCTTTTCTCTATTTTTGTACATTTAATATGTGGGTTTTGGGGGACCAGCAGTTAGCGTAATGGCTATGTTGCTGGACTCCCGTGTAGTCGACCGTGGTTCTAGTCCCAAACCTGGTGTCTTAAACTCACACCAGGCGTGTGTGCGTGCGTGTCCAAGATCCAGAGAGGAGAACGGAGGAGAAGGGATTGCGGCGTGGCCAATCCCAGGGGTGATTTCTCGCTTTCTGTCTCTCTGTCTCTCTCTGTCTTTCTGGCAAGCTCATGCACCCTGTAGCAAAAACCTCTCCAAAAAAACAAAAACAAAAAACAAACGTTTCGGGGACCAGCAGGTAGTGTGGTAGTTAAAGTGTTGGACACACACACGGCTGACCACAATTCTAGTCCTGGACCTGGCGGCTTGCTTTCTCACTTTCCCCCTTTCTCTCTCTGGTCAAACTAAAAATAAATCGGGGACCAGCAGTTAACGTAATGGCTATGTTGCTGGACTCCCATGTAGTGGACCGTGGTTCGAGTCCCGAACCAAGTGGCTTAAACTCACACTGGGCATGTGTGCATGCATGTCCAAGATCCCAAGAGGAGAATGGAGGGGAAGGGATTGCGGTGTGGCCATCCCCCCTGGGGATGATTTCTCACTTTCTGTCTCTCTGTCTCTCTCTGTCTTTCTGTGCACGCGCTCTGTAGCAAAATCCTCTCCCCAAAAAACAAAAGCAGCAGCGGAATGAAGAAAGTCAAGACTAAGGCTTCCTCAGGACGGAGGTCTGACATCCGCTCTTTTTTTCTTTAATCCAGAGAGGAAGCTCAGAAACCTGGTGACCATTGCCACCAAGACTTTCTTCCGCCCCCACAAGCTCATGATCTTGCTCCGGAGTATTCGACGCTATTACCCAGACTTGACTGTAATTGTGGCTGACGACAGTGAGAAGCCCATGGAAATTAAAGATGACCATGTGGAGTATTACGCTATGCCCTTTGGGAAGGTACATCCCTCCCGGACTGGGGGGACGCGTGGGTCCCAGGACAAGAAGGCCCCAGAATCAGGTTCTCCCTCGAAGAGGTAGCGCTCTTGCAAAGAAAGCAGAGTCCTGGAATGGGAGTGGGGAGGACTCACCTCTATCCCTTTGCTGCCCTCAGATGCAGAGAGAAATTGGGTCAGCCTCACTTTTCTGCATTAATGGTGGGGTGGTTATTCTGCTTTTCCTCATTTTTAGTGTGGAATTGACTGTGACCAGAGGTGACATTCCTAGCATGCCAACCCAACAGCGGAGAAACCCCTGTGGTTCCATCCAAGCTGGAGTCTCCCTCCTCTACCTTTACTTCCTGCCCCTTTCCCCCTCTCCCTCCTCACTCTCTCCTCCCTACACCTCTCTCCCCTCCCCACATACATTACTGCAAGGACAAAGGAGGAGGTATTACACACACCAGACTTCCCCAGAACTCGAGGTAGAAGGAGAACTGCAACCACTGTCAGAAAATAAAAGGCAAAAGAGGACTTCAGTCAATTCATTAGAGAACACAGGGTGGAGAAAGGACTTTTGTTCATTTTTTGCTATAAGGCACATGTGCTCTCCAGGGAGAGACAGAGAGAGAGAGAGAAAATGAGAAATCATTTCCTCCAGGTGCGCTGGCCATGTTGCAATCCCTTCTCCATTCTCCTTCAGGATTTTGGAGAACATTTACATGCGCCACCAAGCCACCAGTCCAGGACTTGAACCATGCACTCAGCTGTGTAGGATCCAGTTCCTTGTTTATTTTTTTGAGAGTCCCCTTCCCCTGCATAGGATATGTGCACTCTTCTGAGACAGAGAGAGAGAAAGTGAGATATCACTCCAGGGAGGATGACCATACTACCTTCCCTTCTCCCCTTAGGATTTTGGGCATGCACACGCATGAGCCTAGCATATGATTGTTAAACACCGCTGGGTCAGGGCTTGAATGGTAGTTGCCCCAAACTCTTAACCATCACATCACCTGGCTGGTCCAGGGCAGAACTTTCTAATCTTTCTTCCTTTTCTTTCTTTCTTTCTTTTATTTTTTCCGCAAATCTTCCTTTTATATAGTTTTTAAAATATTTACTTATTTACTTCTTCTACGAGAGAAAGAGAGACACCTAGCAGGATTCTTGTACCATAATCGACCCCCAGTCTCAGCCAGCCCAAATCATGGATGCGCACACCTGCCCTGCATGCTCAGAGAGGTCCTAGGACTTGAACTCGTGATCTCTCCTATGTGAGTCCAGTTGTGCTACCTCTGTGCCACCACCTGGACTCTTCCCAGCCTTTCTTTGTCTCCGGCTTCGATCCTGTCCTCGTCGTCCCTTCCAGTGTTTCTCTGAGACACAGACTCCCTTTGACCCAGTGGTTCTCAACCTTGGCCGTGGCCGGATTCACCCCCACAGCTTCTGAATTCGTTCTCCTGGTGTGGCCTGGCTGCTGGGAATTGCAAACTCTTCCCAGCTGATGCTAATATGTAACCAGAGTGCAGGACAGCAGTTGGTGTAATGGCTATGTCGCTGGGCTCCCATGGAGGCGACTGTGGTTCGAGTCCCGGACCCGGTGGCTTAAACTCACACTGGGTGCATGTGCACGTGTGCCCAGGATCCCGAGAGGAGAACGGAGGAGAAGGGATTGGGGTGTGGTCATCCCCTCTGGGGGGTGATTTCTCACTTTCTGTCTCTCTGTCTCTCTCTGTATTTCTGGTGAGCGCACGCGCCCTATAGCATAAACCAATAAAAAAAAAAATGTAACCAGAGTGGGCAACCACTGACCTACCTTTGTCTCTCCCACAGGGTTGGTTTGCTGGTAGGAACCTGGCCATATCGCAGGTCACAACCAAATATGTGCTCTGGGTGGATGATGACTTTTTCTTCAACAACAGGACCAAGATCGAGGTGCTGGTGGATGTCCTGGAGAACACCGAACTGGATGTGGTAGGGATAGCAGCCAGTGTTATTTACCCAGCTGTAACCTGTACAAGTGGGGAGTGGGGGAGAAGAGAGAGAAGCACTAGGTCATGGGAAGAGTCATGCCATATTTTTCCATGTTTTTCCCTGTGAAAATGCATCATGACTTTCCTGACAGCCCCGTATATGAGGGAAGCTGAGTGGGCAGGGAGAGGGGCTGATGCAGTAGAAGAACAAGGCAGAGGGATCAGCAGTTAGCGTAAGGGCTATGTCGCTGGACTCCCACATAGGCGACTGTGGTTCGAGTCCCGGACCCGGTGGCTTAAACTCACGCCGGGCGCGTGTGCGTGCGTGCCCAAGATCCCGAGAGGAGGAGAAGAGATTGCGGTGTGGCCATCCCCCCTGGGGGGTGATTTCTCGCTTTCTATCTCTCTGTCTCTGTCTGTCTGTCTGGTGAGCACATGCGCCCTATAGCAAAAACCTCTCCCCCCCCAAAAAAAGAAAAAATATATATATACATGACCCAAATGACATTAAAAAGAAGAAAAAGATGGGGCTGGCTTGGTGATTAAGGCACTGGACTCCCATATGGCAAACTGCGGTTCGAGTCCTGGGCCTGGTGGCTCTCTCACTTTCCCTTTCTCTCTCTGTCTCTCTTTGGTCAAATTAAAATAATGATAATATATAAAATTAAATAATTCTTAAAGAAGAATGAAATAATAAAAACATTAAGAGTCAATTCTCTACAAAAGAGAGAGAGAAGAGGAAAAGGGAATGACACAAAGGTGTGTGGCCTTATGACCATGGTTAATACTCTAAAGGCATAGTCTTAGAGCATCTCAGAGACATCCTCTCAAAGACATCCCTGGGCTCCTCTCTAGGGACCAAGACACAGTAGCTGACACAGAGAGCAGCTGACAGCTGCGTGGCCTCTAATGTCATCCCGGCCCAGCTCCCTTCTCCTGTTGCTCCATCATCCTCGAAGTCCTCAGCTGCCTGGCCAGAAGAAATGGGGAAGAAGGAAGTGGAGGTTTCTTTCTTCTTCTTTTCTTCCTCCTCCTTCCCCTCCTCCCCCTTCTTCTTCTCCCTCTTCTCCTTCTTCTTCTTCTTCTCCTTCTTCTCCTTCTTCTTCTTCTTCTCCTTCTCCTCCTTCTTCTTCTTCTCTTCTTCATTGCCTGCCGGGGACCAGCCTCAGCGGGGGTGGGTTGGCTCAACGGAGGCAACGCTGGAAGGAAAGGAAGACTAAGGCCTCGTGCCTTTTCATGCACGTCCTCAGCCGGACACTCCCAGAGATTGCTCTCTGAGGAGTGACAACTGTTAGGAATCATCGTGCCTTTTTATTGAAAATGCGATACATGCAAGTAAATGGGAGAGGGG